AATTTCCCTTCTTCTCACTACTGTTCGGAACCGAATGACAGGTAAGCTTGCACGTTGTAATCGTTGGATGGCGAATTGATTCCGACAGAATGTCGGGCGAAAGCAAAAGATGCGATTGTTTTCAGTGATGTCAAGGTCTACTAAAACAGCAGCAACGGTAAAAGCTAACTAAAATTCTGATGCTGTATTTGTTTTGCTCCCATAAAAGCTCAAGCATACCACTGACGCTCTCTGAGACATTCGGTTCTCACAGGTCAATTAGATCTGCGTTTCCTATTCAACTAGTTGGCAGGTGACAACGTTAAGTGCTTGTCCCAGATTATTTATTAAATGATGTATCCAGGAGCCATTTTCCAGTGCAATCAAGGTTAAGTATCGAAATGTCCACAAACAATGAAGCAATATGCGGGCTGTAGCGGCAACCGACGCACAAAAGAGCGAAAGCTGGGCGTTATTACATCCACAGTTGATTGTATTTTGTGACGCTTATTACGCAGGTCAATTTGATTGGAGCATAAGAGATATCGGAAGAATGATCATCTTCAGTCACCCAAAAGAAAGTGTCTTCAGTTTGGGATTCGTATTGAATCAGACTTAAATCGTTAGTTCATTCAGACGAAGATGTTGTGCGGGATATGATTCGATTTTTGCTGCGGTACTACAAAAAGCGTTATTTATCACTTAGAATACGATTTTTCTTAATATCGCCAACATTTGTAAATATTATTGCACAAAAGCTGGATTTGACTTTTTGATTGAAAGTGGAACCATAAGGCATATCCGTTGTTGATCAAAACCCCATTTTTTCATTTTTATCTAGCACATGTGCAAGTTTATCAAGGTAAAGCTAATTGGCCCTAAATATTCGCACAGAATCATTGCTAAATGGAGTTAGAACAGTCAACATCCTGAGAAATTGCTGTTGTTTCCTTGATGTTACAAGTTTGGTGGGATAGAAACTAACGGACAGGGTACTACAATCTGATTAGTAAGTTCTTTTCACCAAGGCTCTAGTTTCTTCCTTTGGGGAAAATCTAGATAGTATGTGTCCATATTCAAAGCAGTTTGCCAGCACTTCTCACTAACTCCCGCACTATTTTGTAAATGACCTTTGGACTGGTATCTTTGGAAACCGTCACGTGGGACAAACGTCACTGAAAGACTGGCAAACATAACAAAGTGAATTCAATGACAACACCGAATTCTGGGATAAGCAAACGAGGTTCGTGCACAAATCACTCCTACGTATAGTCTGGATTGAAAATCAAGTCGAATAAACGGGAAACATTCTTCTTCGAAGTGCTCTTTTGTTCTTATAGCGTGGGTTGATCTTGTTATTCACGCTGCATATGACAACTGGTCATTGGTTGGAAAATAAATACTTACTGCGAAAAAATTACGAAATTAGCAATACTGATCATGAATAGCTATTTAAGGGATGATTACAACAATGGTGCATGGATTATACGCATGACGGACATCAGTTGGAAGGAATTTTATCACTGTGGTTTTTTCACTGAGTATGATCTCACATTCCGATCAAGGAAATAAACAAATAGAAATAGTGAACAAAAGTAATGTTTGATCATCTCTGTTGTGACTTTGATAGTTCATCTTCGGCTAAGAATGCCATGCCGATTTCCAGAAAAACGGATACCATATTTGGTAAATCATTTTAGTTTGTGATTTCAAAAAGGATAACAACTGTGTCGAGATAAACTACTGTATCGCAGACTGGAATAAACAAAATGCCGTAGGCAAACCCACTAACCTGTGGCTCTGGATCACCTTGACGTTGTATACAAAGTATCACATTATCCGCCCTAGCTGGATCCAACACTGTACTTGTCACGACAGCCATGGATTTTGTCGACTGATGCATAGTCTTTTGTGTGGAAGCCAATTTATGTTTGCACGCGTTGAGCAGCAGTTGAATGCTGAGTCGCTTCTTCGTCAACTCATTCACCAATGTTTGGTTTGTATGACAAACAATCAACTCCGCAACAACATGCTCCTCCTGACGTTGTGTCAGGTTGCCCAAACAGGATATTCCCAACTCCATACCAATAAACCAGTTGTGTCGTGGAAGCGGGAATCTTAAATCCGGAACCGATGCCCGTGGTGTCAGTCTACTTCCCACAGCATCACATAATGCATTGAACACTGACTCCCGTTTGATGCGGAGCACTGGGTCATCCCACTGTGGTTGACAGGATTCACACAATGCATTTGATTCAAAGGTGGGCAAAATAGTAGTAAAATTAATAGGGTTTAGTGTGTGTAGCAACTCATTGTGTAATTTCTCTCGTTCACTTGTCATCGCATGAGTCACGGCCAAAAGGATTCGTGTACCACGTGTTTCCAGGGAGCTCACATCTCGTCTAACCTCGTCTAACAGGTCCATGTTCACAAATCTATCTAAAGTGAGCAGAACGATATGTTTTCGTTTGGGTTTTTGTGGTCGCATTTTAATCACTGCCTTGATAACTTCCTTTAATGAAATTCTCGAAGCATCGCAACCCGAACTCATCGTGGTAGGTTTAACATCTCGAGAGTATAAACGTCTTGCTAGTTCGATTCGCGAAAGTTTGTCTTCAAATCGAATAGATTTTCCAAATGAATTGGAATCAGCTTTATCACTGAATATATCATCCACCAAAATATTGAACTCAGTATTCTTTTTTCCGTAAGGTAAACCTAGGATTATCTGGCGCACAAAAGTTAAAAAGTAGTGTCCATAAAAATGAATATCTGGGTCTGGACTGCCAGCAAGTGCACAAGATGCGAGTAATTTTCGAGTGAGCAGAATGGATAAATCCATTTTGACGTATTTTGTCGGACATATGGCGATTGAAAACGAAATTGTTTTACGAATTTCATATGCTTGTCCCTGCACTTCATTAGTTCCAATGCATGTGTAAGCGTAAGTCATACCTCGATATTTTGGATCATCAGGAACGCGTAGTTTATCTCCGCGTAATATTAATCCTTCTGAAGGAGTATCAGTGAAGGGTTGTTTTGGTCCACCCCAACCGCCTTCACTGCCCGGCAAAAGACTAGCTAGATCTGGACCGTTGGAATCTTCCTCATACCTTAACACATTGTACGGTTCCCATCGATAACTCAATGGAGGTAATCCATAACCACCAGCGCAGGTGAATTCCGTGTCTAGAGGTACTGGTTGATGCTCGTAATCTGTTACTATCGTCAAAATAGTTGGCATCCCAGTGGCTGGTTCTTGAATTGTGAATGCAAAGTTACATTCCACACTACTAGTTTCGTTTCGTTTCACAAGATCAACCGGTACAGACAGTCCGTTGTACAATGTGCCACATCTTATACTCAGCAATCCAGTGTAATCTTTGGACTGAACAGCCACTATCTGATGTGACTGTCTTATCGAAGGATTTTCCGCCTCAAAATCTTTTAACTGTTTCTTCTCGAGCTCTCGCATCTGATTGGTCTGCTCATTTTTCATCAGATAGTGGAATTGATTTTGTGAGGGAAAAATTTTCGTCAGGGTTTCGTCTCGTTCACAATGAGCATAGGCAGTCTGATTGGCCAATAGAAAAGGAATACCATCACTTGTTTGTTGTTTATCCGACACTTCTTCCTGTCCTTGACTGTCTAAGGTGAGCGCGCACTTAACTGCTGTTTCATCAGGAAGCACGATTAGTTTTCGAGCACTAATAACTGTGTTAGCGTCACTGTTTGACTGATTTGTGGTATTACAGTGATAGATTCCATTATCATCGTACTGAGCGTTTTGGATTCGCAGCGTAATATAATCCAATGTTTCGTTTGATTTCATATCCAATGCCTTCTGAATAGGTTTTGGTTCTGTCTTTAAGCTATCGCGACGATAGCACTGAATATCCGCAAGCCTACTGTGTCGGAGGCGACCCTTCATGAGTACTGCTGATCCCAGAGTTACAGAGGCTCTCCAACCCACCCTCAATTGAATCATTCGATAATCTTTATTGAAACATGTTGTATTTTCCAAATAGGATTGATTTATTTGATCATTTTCAAGCCACTGATGCACATCCATGCTTACTGCTTCACGCAGTTCACTCTCCACTAAGCTCCTGTTCAAATCGGTTCCCGGGATGTTCACAACGGCAACGAACAATGCAACATGTTCCAGCTGAAGCACACAAGTGGCTGACACTTGCATTGCGTCAACAGTTTGCTCATTACCTCGCAGACCAGCTGCAGATTTTTTGTGTATCCGGGGACACGAATCAGTAACTGTGGTTTTACCTTCCTGATGTACCAGCCAAACCAACACCCAACCCTCAGGAACTCCTTTATCCACAACAAACTGCACAGTCATCAAACCCTCTTCCAAAAGATTTTCGACACCCCCACGTCGGAATGCGACTCCATCAGGACACTTTGCATCTGCACTTTTTAATTTTTCTGCTACTTCCGTGCGGTCCGATTGAATAGATTCGTGGAGCAATTTCGGTTTGATCGGCTGGAAAACTTGGAGAATTTTTGTTTTTGAAATTGATGATCCGGAAATTGTTTCAGCGAGACTGTCTACTTTGCTGAATTTGTCATAGGATAACTGACAAGTGACTTGCCACAACTGAATTCCTCTCACTTCACTAGGCATTGTCACAATACCAGAAATATTCATTGCAGCATTCGATATTGTGCCAACCCTGACAATTACTAACGTCCCGAGTGTTATAAGTGTTCCGTTTGACGGTTGAGCACCATCGGCCTTACCATGCAAAATGCCGTGTCTCAATTTGATAGGAAGCCCTTGTGCTATTGGATACTGACAACTGACGGGTACACAGTCCCCTGGTTTGACGGGGGCATTCGTGTGCGACCGACACCGTTGTTCACGCCACATCGGGTCTAACTCGGCATGAATTCGCATTTGTATGATTGAAGAATCAGGTAGAACAATCAACTGACGTTCTTCAACACCAACACACTTCGGAATGGATTGACAATTGGAAACTGAACAACTGTATAATCCAGAGTCCATGAACAGTGCATGTGTTCTATGGGCGAAAAATGCTTGATTATCTTCTAAGAGCCTGATGTTTAGAGGGAAACGGATTAGCGGATGTGTTTTTGTGTAGCGACGATAGCACTGAATTTCTGGTGNTGACCGAACATCAAGATTTTTGAGTTTATTTGGACCACAGCATTCCAACCGACACGAATACGAACAAGTCGATACTCACCCGATAACTGAACAGGAATTTTGAGGAAATCATCGGTTTCCTCTGTGTCTGTAGCACTGTAGTTCATCCAGTGTTCCGTCGACCTTATCACTTCCGGTAAGAAGTAGCTACTCATTGGTTTGTATGTGTATTTATGATCTATTGTATTGAACACGTATATGAGGAAAGCAATACTCGGAGGTTGGACTCGACAAATGAATTGCATCAAAACGTATTTCGATGCATTCTCAGAGCCCATTTCTTCAGATCGCATTTTAACCTCACACAAGTCACTGATAAGGTTTGATTCATTCCAATATAAAGTCCATACCTC